GCTGTCATGTAGTTTGTAAAGCTGTCGAATTATGAGTGGATTGGGAGAGAAATTTACATTGTCATTCAGTTGGTAAAGACTTGGGAACTTTTACGTCACAACCGCAGACGATTTGGCAGTGGATAATTGATCATTTGAAGACCTCATCTGTATGAAGTCGATTTCATTTTTTCTCTTTAGATTTGTGTTATCAAAATATTTACTCTCTTTCCCTTCCCTTTTGTTATCTCTTTATAGGTACGCAAAGCCGGCCAATATGGCTTGGACATCCAAGCTCGTCAATTTCATGCCTGCCAGGCCACAGCTGCCAAGGTAGCGCTATCAAAATTCGACAATGACGTCTATTTGCCATACGATAAGTTGGCAAAAACTTTGGATGTGGTCAAGGATCGTTTGGGTCGCCCCTTGACATTGTCCGAAAAGATTTTGTACTCTCACTTGGATGATCCCAAGAATCAGGATATCGAACGCGGTACATCGTACTTGCGCTTGCGTCCCGATCGTGTTGCTATGCAAGATGCCACCGCCCAAATGGCCTTGTTGCAATTCATCTCGTCCGGTTTGAAGAAGGTTGCCGTACCCTCCACCGTACATTGTGATCACTTGATTGAAGCACAAATTGGTGGCGCCAAGGATTTGGCCCGTGCCAAGGACTTGAACAAGGAAGTCTACGACTTCTTGGCCAGTGCCTGTGCCAAATACGGTTTGGGTTTCTGGAAGCCAGGCAGTGGTATCATCCATCAAATCATTTTGGAAAATTATGCTTTCCCCGGTTTGCTGATGATCGGTACTGATTCTCACACTCCCAACGGTGGTGGTTTGGGTGGCTTGTGCATTGGTGTTGGTGGTGCTGATGCCGTCGATGTAATGGCCAACATCCCATGGGAATTGAAATGCCCCAAGGTTATCGGTGTCAAGTTGACCGGTAAAATCGGTGGCTGGACCTCACCCAAGGATGTCATCTTGAAGGTAGCTGATATCTTGACCGTCAAGGGTGGTACTGGTGCCATCATTGAATACCACGGTCCCGGTGTCGATTCCATTTCCTGCACTGGTATGGCCACCATTTGCAACATGGGTGCTGAAATTGGTGCCACCACCTCAGTGTTCCCCTTCAACGAACGTATGGCTGCTTATTTGAAATCCACTGGCCGCTCCGGCATTGCCGATGAGGCCAAGAAGGCCCAAGCCAAGATCTTGTCTCCCGACAGCAACTGCAAATACGATCAAGTTATTGAAATTGACTTGAACACCTTGGAACCCCATGTCAACGGTCCATTCACCCCCGATTTGGCCCATCCCATCAGCAAATTGGGTGCCAACGCCAAGAAGAACGGTTATCCCTTGGACATCAAGGTTGGTTTGATTGGTTCCTGCACCAACTCTTCCTATGAAGATATGGGTCGCTGTGCCAGCATTGCCAAGAATGCCATGAAACATGGTTTGAAATCCAAGATTCCCTTCAATGTTACCCCCGGCTCTGAACAGATTCGTGCCACCATTGAACGTGATGGCATTTCCAAGGTATTCGATGATTTCGGTGGTACCGTCTTGGCTAACGCATGCGGTCCCTGCATTGGTCAATGGGATCGTAAGGACATCAAGAAGGGTGACAAGAACACCATTGTAACCTCCTACAACCGTAACTTCACTGGCCGTAATGATGCCAATCCCGCCACTCATGCCTTCGTTACCAGGTAAGTGGGAGAGACAGAGAATGATGGAAATTGGTGTAAGAGAGAGACTTATAAAGATTTTTATTTCAGCCCTGAATTGGTCACAGCCCTTTCCATTGCTGGCCGCTTGGACTTCAACCCCCTCACCGATGAATTGACCGGTGCTGATGGCAAGAAATTCAAATTGGACTCTCCCTTCGGTGATGAATTGCCCTCCAAGGGCTTCGATCCCGGCATGGACACCTATGATGCTCCTCCAGCCGTAAGTTAGAATGTAATATTTTAATGATTTCCAAAATCCACATGGATTTGTATGTTTTTTGTTCCAGAGCGGTGAAAATGTTAAGGTTGCTGTTGACCCCAAGAGCCAACGTTTGCAACTTTTGGAACCCTTCGACAAATGGGACGGCAAAGATCTTACCGATTTGACCGTTCTCATCAAGGTCAAGGGCAAGTGTACCACCGATCACATCTCTGCCGCCGGTCCCTGGTTGAAATACCGTGGCCATTTGGACAACATCTCCAACAACATGTTCATTGGTGCCACCAACTACGAAAACAATGAAATGAACAACATCAAAAATCAACGTACTGGCAAATTCGGCACTGTTCCCGAAGTTGCCCGTGACTACAAGGCCAATGGCATTAAATGGGTTGCTGTCGGTGATGATAACTACGGTGAGGGTTCGTCTCGCGAACATGCCGCCTTGGAACCCCGTCACTTGGGTGGCCGTGCCATCATTGTCAAGTCCTTTGCACGTATCCACGAAACCAACTTGAAGAAGCAAGGTCTGTTGCCCTTGACCTTCGCCAACCCTGCTGATTACGATAAGGTATAAAGGATTAGTAGAAACAATTGGTTTTATCTCTGTGTTCTAATGATAATTATGTTTGTTTTTCAGGTTGAACCCACCAGCAAAATCTCCTTGCTTGGTTTGGCCAACTTGGCCCCTGGCAAACAAGTCGACTGTGAAATCAAGAATGGCGACAAGGTTCACAAAATCAAATTGAACCACACCATGAACGAGCAACAAATCGCCTGGTTCAAGGCCGGCAGCGCTCTCAACCGCATGAAGGAAATCTCTGGCAACTAAGTTGTGTTTTCCTCAGCTTACCATGTTCTTATGTCGTTTCCTGCCCCACATCGATTCGAAAAAAACGATTTGCGTTTTGATTGCAGATTTGGGATTTCATTTTAGTTTAATTTTTCTTCCGTTTTTTCCCCTTCACCGTGCATGATATTTTGTTTATTTAAATATTGTCTGTAAAAATTATTTGTATGTAGAACAACAAAAAAATATTTGCAATTTTTTTTTGAATCGAAGAAAACGATACCAATTGTTATTAAATGCAAAGCAAAAACAAACATATTTATACACCATTAATACTTACATCTCTTATATAATATATATTATTTACTACGATATTGTATTTTTAATTTTATTAAATAATTTAATTATGAAATGCAACAACCACAAACAAATACAACAACAACAACAACTTTCTAGTAATTGAGTTTTGAATTCATAAACATATAGAGGATATTAATGATGTTACACGACCAGCACTGTGCCACGTTGAATGGAATTATTATTTTTTGTTTGCCCAAAGTCACTGCATGATAAGTTGCCAGGACAATAAACTAACTATCCGGCTTTTGTTCGTTAACCAAAGGCGAGTACATACTTATATTTATTATATAAATAAAAAAAAACAAAGTTCTAAACAAGAAAATTTTGTGAATACAATTCAATTAATAGAAATAAAACAAATTAAAAAAAAAAACCAAATTTACAGGGTTTGTATGTTATTTTGAGGTTATGTAGGGTTAAGACCTATTTATTTTACTTTTTATATTTGATTACTGCTAAGAACTAAAATATAGTTAAAGATCTATGAAAGATATGGACCAAATTCTGTTCCATATCGAAAAATACAGGGTGAGATGAAAAAATCGCAACCAACTTCAGACTGCTGTCATTTCTAAGCTACTCGTTCGACAGCTATAAAAATTATTCCAGTGACAGCTCATTATATTGTTTACAAGAGTACAAATGCATTTTGGTAAGAATTTTCCAGAAAAATTCAGTAAAGAAAGTCCTAAAGTCGGGCGGGGCAAACTTTATGATACCCTACACCACTTAGCTAATTTAGTAGAGCTCCACATAACAATTAAAAGATTTTATGGGAGAATTTAATCATACACCCTATGATTTTAATTGTAATTTAAAGTTCAAACGACTAAATATGCCGAAGCATTTATATTATATTTTAATTCGGACTTGTATTGCCCATTTGGTGCAAAATTAATTTGTAATCAGATAAAGATATATATGGGAGCTATATCCAAATCTGAACCGATCTCGATAAAATTTGGTAAAGATATTTCTGAGCTGTATTTGATATATTTCCCTGAATATCGTTGTTACGGAGTGCATATTACGGCTGTGGGTAACAAATACAACAAATCGGATGAACAATATATATGGGAGCTATAGCTATATCTGAACCGATCTTCAACAAATTTGACATACTAGCTTCAATTCGGTCGCATGTGCCAAATTCCATCCCATTTGTGCAAATATTAGACATTTGGTGTAAGGTAATTCGGACGAAGTTATATATGGGAGCTATATCCAAATCTGAACCGATCTCGATAAAATTTTGCAAATGTATTTCTGAGCTGTATTTGATATATTTCCCCCAAATATTGTTGTTACAGAGTGCATTTTACGGCTGCGGAGGACAAAAATAACTAATCGGATTAACAATATATATGGGAGCTATAGCTATATCTGAACCGATTTCGATCAAATTTGGTGTATTTATTTTCAGGCCTAATTTGGTTGTATGTGCAAAATTCCATACTATTCGAGCTGATATTAGACGTTTGGTGCACAATAAAAGGCAAATCGGACGAAGATATATATGGGAGCTATATCTAATTTTTTACCGATTATCTCCAATTTCAATAGGGTTCGTCCTTGGGCCAAACAAATGATTTGTGCAAAATTTCATCTGGAAAGGGACATGCATAAATCGACTCAGAATGTGATTCTATGCAGATCATCAAAAGGAACTATGGGTCTATCTCGTTTCCTTTTGCCTGTTACAAACAAATGCACAAAGGCATAATACCCTGACCACCTTGTGGTGTAGGATATAAAAATCTTGACTCTAATAGGTCCTTCAAATAGTTCATAATGTTTAAATATTGCTTTCATTATTAGAATTAATTATTAGAATTAATTATTATTACTACTTAGAATTAATTATTAGAACCGATATCGTTGCTCGGTTCCTTCCAAAATACATACGTTTCAATTATTCTGTTAAAACAAAATACCATTCTTTTATTTGACATATATAGACACGATTAAAAATACATATTTTAGTTTAAACAAATTAATGAAATTGACAAATAATTCTATATTTTTTTTCTATAAATAACACAATTGAAATATTGTCCCACTAAATTACACTTACAGTTAATACATACGCACACATATATAAATCACGCGCCCACTTAATACTTATAATCGAAATATTTATTATAATAGTATATTGTCAATGAGGGTTCCAGAACAATGATCTCCGGCAATGAGATGCGCATTTGTAAATTGGTCACAATCATGCGTTCGCACAGCTGGGCCCACATGCAACCGTATAGCTTGCGTATATTACTGCAATCCATTTTCTGACGTGTTAGGACACGTATCAAATAGCGCAGCTCGTCCAATGTGGCCGCTTGTGAGAATGGGCCATGACCCATGCACATTTCATAGAGTATACAACCCAATGACCAAATGTCGGATTTATAATCAAAACGTTCGCCCCGTAATACCTCGGGTGGTGTATAGTAAGGGGTACCCAGTGCAGCAGGGTTATGGACTTTGGAGGCATGTACCAAAGAGATGCCAAAATCGGCAATTTTCAAATTGTGATTGGCATCGACGAGAAGATTGGCTGGCTTCAAATCACGATGAATGACATGCCGTACGTGTAAATATTCCAAACCCATGAGGGCATCACAAAAATAACGCATAATTTCATTGTGCGTTAAACCTTTGGGTCTTGCATTATGGATGAGATCCTGAAGCGTGCCATTGGGGGCATATTCCATGATGATGTTAACCGTTCCGGCGTGCATAAAGGAACTAATGAATTGTATAATATTTGGATGCTGCAGCTGGGATATTATGTAAACCTAATGCGAGTGTTTTTGAGTGTAAGGTATTAGTTGTGGTTAGTTATTTATTTAATATCTATATCTACCTCCTCCAATATCATGCCCATTTCCACCTTGGGATTCACCACAATAATTCGTTTGACACAAACTTTCTGATTATTACGATATTTGCATAGAAATACCCGTCCGAAGGAGCCAGCTCCCAACACTTTAATCGGTTTCAAAGTAGGATCACCTAAATCCATTTTGTGCGGATTTTCTTTTTGGTTTGGTGATATTCTTTAATTATTTGGGTTGTTTTTTTTTTTAGGAAACACCACTTTGTCCAATTCGAGGGTATGTTAAGTAATGATTAAATGTAATACGCTGATTTTTTTACGAAGCTGAGCAAAAACAATTCCGTGTTTGGACATTTTGGGGGGTAACGGTTTTTCATTTGACTGATTGCTGTGTTCTCTTAATCTCTTACAAATAAATGTAAACAATCAAATGATGTGGTGATCAATAAGTGATTACCCAGCAAAACATAATAGAGGTGATTAAGAAAAGAGAAGTGACTGTGAAGACGTAGAGAAATTTAAAGAGTATGTAGTGAAATGGTATTTCATTAACACAACCTTGTCATGTTTTTTCCTTCTTTAAAATAAAAAAAAAAAACAGAGCTGGGTATTCGATCTTAGCTATTGTAATGGATTAAACTCGTGAACAGCCAACCAAGCAATATTACGCTTCATAAAATACAAAACAAATAGCTGGTCAAACACTAAAAGCTGTTAATTAAAAACCATTTTGTTTATTAACACTTTTTTAGGTGGCATTTTGTTCACACTGATTTCCTAATTGGATATTGCCCATTTTTTAAAACTGGTGACTGGCTACCTCCCAAGATGTAAATACAAAACTTGGAGGTATAAAATGGAAAACTCGTTCACAACAGCATTCTAGTTCAACGAACGTAATGAAGCAGCATGGTACTAAATGGCGTACTAGGGGATTCTAACGAATTAGTGGAAAATGGAATTCTGAAATTTGAAACAAAAACGTCTGTCCAGAGTTGCCTATTGAGGTAGCCAAATTTTGGTTGAATGTGCTGTCGAATGTGACCTCTGCTATTGAGCAATCCTCCAATCCAATACAAAGTTTTTGTCAATGGAGCTGTTTTCAAATAACTCCAGGGGAGAATATCCATATATAAAAAAGGGAACTAATGTGATTTGGTGATTTTTATGTAAACCATGGTCTTCCGTGAGAACTTGTTGCTTTTGTCAAACATATCAAAGATTTTTTATCAAATAGTATATTGTTTTCTTTTTTATTTATTTTCAATTTGTACAGTAACATAGCCCATTGGTCCATAAACGGTTCCACAAACTTCTATACATGACTACTCTAAAGAGTAAAAACTGCGATCTTTATACCTTCAGCCATATGGCTAGGGTATATATCATTTGATACGACCAAAACGTGTCTCAACAAAATAACAGGTCTGTTTGGACCAAATCCATTTCAGGACATTTGGAGTCGATCTAACGGTGCTAGTACGCACGATAACTCTCTAAGGGAGTATCCGATTTGATCCAAATTTGGTACATCGTAATATTATTATCAAACTTAGATCGAGTTCAGAGATGGGCCATATCGGTCCACTCCTTTTGGTACCTCCCACACAAAATGTCAACATTTTCAAAGAAAATAATTTACTGCACAGAAAGAGAATGGATAATCCTATTTTGCTCCAAATTTACTAATCCTAATATTTTCATCAGTGCAAAGTCAGGTCGGAAAATGGACAATATCGGTCCACTCCATCAAGTACCTCCCCCACAAAGGGTAAAAATTTGGAATAATTATAACTCTTATAAAATTTGATGTGAGTGTTCGATTGTCTTCAAATTACACACATCACTATATTTTCATTAATCCAAGCTATGGTGTGAAAGTGGTATATATCGGTCCACTCCTTCTGACACCTCCCCCACAAAGCGTCAAAATTTTGAACATCCATGAAGCTCATAAAACACGAAATTGAAACCCGATTCTATTGGGACTTGGTACATCTCAATATTTCCATCAACACAAAATATGTTATAAAGATTGTAGAGATCGGACCATTCCTTCTGGTACCTTCCCCACAAAGGTTCGAAGTTTGAATAACCATAACGATCATAAAATCCGAAATAAGCTTCTGGTTTTCTTCAAATTACACACATCACAATATTTTTATTAATCCAAGGTCTGGTGTGAAGATGGAATATATCGATCTAATCCTTCTGCTACCTCCACCACAAAGTGTCAAAATTTTGAGTATCCATGAAGCTCATAAAACGCGAAACTGACATTCGATTCCATTGAGACTTGGCACATCTCAATATTTCCATCAACACAAGATCTGTTGGAAAGATAGCACAGATCGGATCATTCCTTCTGGTACCTCCCCCACAAATATTCGAAGTTTTAAAAAACCATAATGAACATAAAATTCGAAATAAGCTTCTGGTTTTCTGCAAATTACACACATCACAATATTATTATTAACACAAGGTCTGGCGTGAAAATGAAATATATCCACTCCTTCTCCAAGAAGTTCATAAAACGCGAAAGTAACGTCATATTCCATTCACTCGGCTCGATACATCTCTCTCGCCGATTCTTTATAACTAAATATTTCTCTCCATCAAAAAGCCTGATATGAATATGTAGTTTATGATTTAGCATAAATTTAGATATAAATGTTCGATTTCCTTCAAATTTTGCACATACCAATATTTTTATCTGTATTAGATGAAGAATGAAAATGGAATACTTCGGTCCGCTATATCTGTTACCTCAGGCATATTTCACATTTTCCATAAATTTGCACATATCTCATATAAAGTATGGGAAATAGTCGATATAGTCCAAATCTGGCACGTTGTAATATTTATATCAGTCCAACTGCTCTGGAAACTCCCCCATAAAGGGTCTACGGTTTGAAAAATCATAACTCAAAGCTGGGGGTTTACATCTGTTGGCAAAACCAACTGATACTATTTTACTTGTTTTTTATATAATTCCTCTATGGAATTTAACTTTTTTGACACGTTTAAATATTAATTAAAAACCTCAATAAAAACACTTCATATTTGTCTATTATAATTTTATTTTTTTTTATTTTAAAAATAGACTTATGAGGCATGTTTCCTTTTTTTGTTTCTCCAAGAATTTAATTATATTAAATTAATAATTATATTTTTTGCTCTTGTTGTTGTTGCTATTTTCTTTTCACATAATTTTATTTAAAATGCAGCAAACACACACATACATATATAAATCATTCAACTTTATTTCTTCGTAATTATATCATTTTTTTATTTTCTAAATTATTTCTGTGAAATATTTATCTCATTTAAATATCATTTTTATTTTTTGATATTTTATATATAAATCTAAATTAATTTTGTTATATGTATGTATATAGAAACGTGTACTCATCATCAATAAATTAAACGTTATTAGGTTTTATAACAATTTTTGTTGTTAATTTTTTGTTTTATTTCACACGCTTAGATTGGTATATTTTCCAGTAGGATAACCTCTATTTCCTTGTGATTTTTTTCTGGTGTTTAGGGTACCTTTTCTCTTTATTTCAAATATATATATATTTTGAATATATTTTTTATTGTTTTCTCTTTTTTTTATTTTACAATTTCAAATTTTAATTCGAACATAATTTGTGTTTTTTGAAATTGTTGCAGACTTTACACAATAAATTCTGTTATAGTTGCTTGGTTTTAGGAATTTATTTTACAAAATGAAATTTGAACTTATTATTATTATAAAAAATGTAACTAATGTTATTTTATTTAACACAAAAAAACATCCCAAGTTGTGTGATAGAAAGAATCATGGAGGACATGAAATTTGGATTTGGTTTTAAATCATTGAATTGGAACATGTGTACTAAATTTATTACCAATTCGCCAGCAAACTCAACAATTCGTTTAGAGCCTCCAGGCATTCAAAGCACTTCGTCTTTAAAAAAATAAAACTGTCCCCAACATTGTTAAAATGTTTCATCGAATTTTAAAACTGTGACCTTCAAATATTATTTTTATAAACAAAAGATTCCACTCCAAACCCCATTTTTTCGCTGGAATTTGAATTCTTTTAGAAAAATACTTTTTCGGAGAGCCTTTCTTTGTTATCTTCTTTTGGAAGTTTTATTTAGTTATTTCTTTTATCATATTGTAACAAATTGAAATGATTGTTGATTACACAGCATAATCTGGGAGGGGTTGGGAAAACTCCAATTAATTTGAAATTTCCCATAACATGATTTATAAGCAAAAAATAAATGTAAAAAAAGAATTAATTACAATTACCACTTCTCGGCTATGGACACAAAATATGATCGTTTTACGCTCTTATTTATTGTTTTCTTCAATAACTCTGGGGCATTGGACAAACAGGCAGGCAGTCAGTCAAATTATTCAAAAATACACGATGTCGATAATGTTTGATGCAATGTTGAAATTCTGGCGACGGTGGTGGTGGTGGTTGTGGTGGCGGCTGCTGCGACTAGCGCTGTTGCAGCAGCTAGGCTATAAAACAAACGCAATTGATCTAATCATTCCCACTCTGTGGTACCCGGAGGTTTCGATGTCAAATCGTAAAGGACCCGAGAGATGCCATCAATCTTGGAAATTTCCTGAACCATTTTGTGGAGAACCTAAAACAATATTAAATTAGTTATTATTCCAACGAAAAGAGGAGTATCAGCTGGTAAACTTACAGGCAATGGCATACGCTCGGATCCTGGAATAGCCGGCACACCTGTCATAAAGTCACTGGTAATGAATGGCCTCAACACAACAGATCGACTGCATGATGGTGTACGATTAATGGGATCTCTGTCGAAATGCACTGGTATCAGAACAACGGGCATCTGTGATATTTTACGATAAAGACCAGCTTGCATAATTACCTAGAAGATAAAATAAAACAAAATTAAATAAAAGAATTATGTTTTTCAAAACAAAAAAAAAAAAAAAAAGTTTCAACGAATTATTTTTAATAGAAGATGTAAAATGGTAACAGTCGGTTTGCGACAGATGTATATCCCCAGCTTTGAGTTATGATTATTCAAACTGTTGACTCTTTATGGTGGAGGTTCCGAAGCAGCAGTTGACCAATATTGGCCAATTCGTATCTGACCTAAGACTGATATAAATTTTACAACGTGTCAGATTTGGACACAAAGAGTCACAGTTTCCAATTCTTATATCTGCCATAACTTGCGTCGGCGATATACTTCCTATACTTTAAATGTGATATGTGCAAATTTTTGGAAAATGTAGAAATATGCGTGAGGTAACTGACTTCCATTTTCATACCTCATCTAATACAGATAAAAAATTGATATGCGCAAAATTTGAAGGAAATCGAACATTTATATCCAATTTTATGCGAAATAAATTTCATATTCATCCCAGGTTTTTGGTTTAGAGAAATATTTAGTTGTAAAGAATCGCCGACGCAAGTTATGGCAGATATAAGTATTGGAAATTGTGACTCTTTGTGGGTTAGGTACCCGAAGGGGTCCGCAGATGTATTTCATCTCCACAACAGATCTTGCGTTAGCAAAAATATTTGGGTGTGTGAAATTTGAAGAGAAACGGTTGCTTATGTCGCTTTCTTTGAGCGTATTGTTTTTCAAAATCTTGAACCCTATGTGGGGGAGGTACCAGAAGGAATGGTCCGATCTCCACCATCTTTATAATAGATCTTGTGTTTATGGATATACTGAGATGTGTCAAGTCTTAATGGATGTTATTTTCGCGTTTTATGAGCTTCATGGGTACTCAAAAATTTGACCCTTTGTGGGGGAGGTACCAGAAGCAGTGGACCGATTTATTCCACCTTCACACAAGACCTTGAGTTAATAAAAACAATGTGATGTGAGTAATTTGAAGAGAACCGGATGCTTATTTGGGATTTCATGATCATTTTGGTTTTTCAAAATGTTGACCCTTTGTGGTGGAGGTACCAGAAGGAGTGGACCAATATACTCCATTTGCACGCTAAACCGTGGGTTAACAAAAAATATGTGTAATTTGAAGAGAATCTGCTGCTTATTTCCGATTCTATGATCATTTTGGTTACTCAAAATTTTGACCCTTTGTGGGGGAGGAACCAAAAGCAATCGTCCGATCTCTACCATCTTTATAACAGACCTTGTGTTGATGGAGATATTGAGATGTGCCAAGTCTGAATGGAATCGGATGTTATTTTCGCGTTTTATGAGCTTCATAAATGTGCAAAATGTTGACCCTTTTTAGGGGAGGTACCAGAAGGAGTGGACCGATATATTCCATCTTCACACCAGACCTTGGGTTAATAAAAATATTGTGATGTGTGTAATTTGAAGACAATTGACCTCTTACATTACATTTTATAAGAGTTTTAATTATTCAAAATTTTGACCCTTTGGGAGGAGGCACTTGATGGAGTGGACCGAGACCATTTTCGCACCTGACCCAGCACTGATACAAATATTAGGATTTGCAAAGTTGGAGCAAAATCGGATTATCCTTTCTCTTTCTGTGCAGTAAATTATTTTCTTTGAAAATTTTGACATTTTGTGGGGGAGGTACCAGAAGGAATGGAGCGATATTGTCCATCTCCGAACTTGATCTAAGTTTGATAATAATATTACGATGTGTCCAGTTTGGATCAAATCGTATACTCCCTTAGAGAGCTAGTGCGCACCAGCCAGCCAGACAGACGGGTAGATGGACGTCGCTAGATCGACTCAAAATGTCCTGGAACGGATTTGGTCCAAAGACGTAGGGTCTAAGGCACATTTTGGCCGTATCAAATTATACAGACATTTAGCAGTCATATCTGGTGACCTCTTTACAAAATAACTGTTTATGTTGTTATAGTAATTTTTGGGTAATGAGGAAAGAAAAATTTTATCCATGGGGAAAGAAAAATTTTATCCAAAATGCATTTTCTCAAAAATGATTTTTTTGAGATATAAAACTCTTTGGGTAAATGATTTGAGCGATATTCAAAACAATACTTACTTCATTAGCCACAGCATCCGCCTGCCTCAGTTGTTTGATGACATAATTATTCAATGTTGTGTGTGTAATATCGGTTATCTGATATTGTATGGGATCACCGAAAACATAACAAACCCTATTGACATTGTGTAGGATGCGAGGTATAAGTTTTGCCAAGAACAGCATGTCATCCCAATTGGGTTCACTTGCACTGGAAAGAGCCACTACATAGCTGTAAGTGCGTTTATCGCCTGTAATAAAAGTCGAGATAAATCAAGTTTAAATTTATTTGAGTATTTTAAAAAATCTTAACTATACCTTGAACACCCACTGAACGAATGGGTAACACGGTTGCTTGAATTTGCGAAAACGAAGAAATTGCAATGAGCTTGTGTTGTTCCATTTCGGTTGTAGCACCACTGACACGATTTATTAGAGCATGATTCTTTTCCAATTTATTTTTATAGTCCACAATAACACGGGCAATCACCTATTTGTAAAACAGAATCGAAAATAAAAAATACAATTACATTTTTTATTTGACAAATACAAAATTTTTTAATTCATTATGCCTCCGATTCTGAATCCATTTTCACTAAATTTGACGGAGACACTTTAATCTTTTACACCCAGTAACATTGCTATAGACTGCATGATATCACTTCGAGAAGAATTATATAAAAAATATATATATCTAAGCCGAGTTCCACCAAATCGGGTTAAGGATATACATAGGAGCTACATCAAAATCTTAGCCGAAAATTTAGCAAAGGTATTTCCGAGCTCTATAAGATATCTGGTACTAAATAACATAATAATCGAATATATATTTTTAGATCATTTGGACGATATTGGATATTTGGTGCACAATTAACCCGAAATCGGTTGAAGATATATATGGGACCTATATACAAATCTGAACCAATCTTGATCTAATTTGCAGAGGTTTTTCTGGACTGTATCTGATATCTGGTACTAAATATCATTCTTGTGGGGCGCATATTACGAATGTGGGGGACTTAAAACCCCAAATCGGATGAAACATATATATGGGAGCTATAGCTATATCTGATCCAGATTTGATCAAAATTGATGTACTTGCTTCTAGACTGAATTCGGTCGGATGTACCAAAAATCAGGTAATTTGGACTGATATTGGCCATTTGGTGCACAATGAAACCGAAATCGGTTGAAGATATATATGGGAGCTATGTCTAAATTTAAACCGATTTTCATCAATTTCAATAGGGTTCGTCCTTGGGCCATTTCATTTCAATTGGATAATAAATGCGACCTACATTTTGTTCACAAGAATACTGACATGTATAAAACGACTCAGAAAGTTATTCTATGAAGATCCTTAAAAGTAACTATGGGGTCTATCTCGCTTCCTTCTCCATGATACAAACATATGCACAAAGGCAGCATACCCTCACCACTATGTGGTGTAGGGTATAATATATAAATAATATATATAATAATATATAATATATAATATATATATAATATAATATATAATAAGCAAATATTTAAATAAAATAGGTAAGAATAAAAATAAATTAAATTTGCCTTCCTTACCTGTGTCTCAGAATAATCTTTTTCAATGAAGGGTTCTTCGGCACACAATATACGTATGGCCAAACCAGGTCCAGGGAATGGCTGTCTTTCCACCAACTCCACGGGTAAACCCAAATCGTTGCCCAATTCTCGTACCTCATCCTTGTGGAAATCGCACAAAGGTTCCACAACACGGCCAGCATTACGGAGTTCTCTGCAAAAATTTAAGCAGAATGTAAAACATACATCAAACAAAGTCACATTTAAATGCCACGGCTTACCTTATCAAATCTGTATCGTTATGATGTGTTTTGATTGTTTCTGCATTTTTGCTAACCATATTTGAGGCAGATTCAATTAAATCCGGCCTCAACGTACCCTGGGCCAACATAACTTCCTCGGGTTTCAATTTCATTTCGGCCACAATATCATTGGTTATTTTCACAAAAATATCACCAATAATTTTACGCTTTTCTTCAGGGTTAATGGTTTGACATAGCATTGGTGTTTCAACAATGGAAAATTGACCGGGCCTCTTGATTTGTGTTGTACCCTTGAGGAAGGTGTAGGCTACTTTGCGTACAATTAAATCAATGCCAATGTCCCTTAGGGATTTCTCCACCTTTTCACTTTCATCTTTACGCATGAAACCATTATCCACATGAACAGCAATGATTTGACTGGGATGTAAGGCATGTCGCAACAACGCTGCACACACAGATGAATCAACGCCGCCACTTACCAAGACCTACAAAGAGAAAAAATAAGACAGTTCTAGATTTGTCTCCAATTATAGAGATATTGTCTACTTACCAGAACCTTGTTATTGCCAACTTTCTCCTTTATATATTTTATACACTCCTCCTTGCGACTGCCCATTGTAAAGTTGGGTGTTAGTCCACAGATCTCAAAGAGGAAATTTGTAAATATTTGTTTACCACACACTGTTAGATCGACTTCCGGATGAAATTGTACACCGTATATCTTTAGCAAATCATTGTAGATTGCCGTGACAATATTGCTCGAAGATCGACCACCAACTTTGAGTTTATCACCTACACGTTCTACACTATCGCCATGTGTAAGGAGTACAGTTTGGGTGCGACTCAAGCGGCTGTAAGTAGAAAACAGGAAGGAAAATAAATACAAGATTTTTTGTTAGCAGTTAAAAAGGATTTGTTTTAGATATAATTTTTTAAGTTAACTATTCTATATTTTTATACCCTCAGCCATATGGCTAGAGAGGGTATATATCATTTGATACCGCCAAAGCATAACTAATCGAAATAATGGTTTTACACCCTAGTTCTCTTTGGACAGGACATTTGGAGTACCCACAATAACTCTCGAAGGGAGTTACCGATTTGATCGAAACTTGGCACATTGTAATATTATTATCAAAATTAGATCGAGTTCGGAGATGGGCAATATGGGTCCACTTGCACAGAAAGAGAAAAGATAACCCGATATAACTCTAAATTTGCAAATCCTAATATTTATACCAGTGCTACATCAGGTGCGAAAATGGACAATATCGGTCCACTTCACCAAGTACCTCCCCCACGAAGGGTCAAAATATTGAATAATTATAACTTTTTAAAAATGTGATGTAGAAGTCCGATTGTCTTCAAATTACACACATCACAATATTTGTATTAACTTAAGGTCTGGTGTAAAGATGAGATATATCGGTCCACTACTTCTGGTACCTCCCCCACAAAGGTTAAAAATTTTGAATATCCATGAAGCTCCTAAAAAGTAGAATTAACATCCGATTCCATTCAGACTTGGTACATCTCAATATTTCTATCAACATAAAATCTGTTATAAAGATGGTGGAGATTGGACCATTCCTTCTGGTACCTCCCCCACAAAGGGTCAAAGTTTTGATTAAACAAAACGATCATAAAATCCGGAATAAGTACCCGGTTCTCTTGATACTTCACATGTCCCATTATTTCTACTAACACAAGATCTGTTATAAAGATGGAATACATTGGTCGCCTCCTTGTGGTACCTCCCCACAAACGGTCAAAGTTTTGAATATCCATGGAGCTCATAAAACGCGAAATTAACATCCGCTTTCCTTCAGACTTGGTACATCTCAATATTTCTATCAACACAAGATATGTTATAAAGATGGTGAAAATCGGACCATTCCTTCTTGTACCTCCCCCAAAATGGGTCACAATTTTGAATATCCATGAGCTCCTAAAACGCGAAATTAACATCCGACTTCATTCAGACTTGGTACATCTCAATACTTCTATCAACACAAGATCTGTTATAAAGATGGTGGAAATCGGAAAGTTCCTTCTGATACCTTTGCCACAAAGGGTCAAAGTTTTGAATAACCAAAACTATCATAAAATCCGAAATAAGCACCCGGTTCTCTTCATATTTCAGGTGTCCCATTATTTCTACTAACACAAGATCTGCTGTGAAGATGGAATACATTGGTCCACTTCTTCTAGTACCTCCTCCTCCTCCAAGAATCCAACTCTCTTCAAATTTAACACATCCAAATATTCTAGCGCAGGATCTGATGTGAAGATGATGTATATATGCGAACCTCTTTTGATACCTAACCCACAAAGTGTCACAATGTTCAATACTTGTATCTGTCATAACTTTGGAAACAAGTCAGCAATTCTTTACAGCTTCATATATCTAAATATTTCTCTAAACCAGACACCTGAGATGAATATGGAATATATGATTTCACATAAAATTTGATAAAAATGTTCGATTTTCATGTAATTTTGCCTTCAGAACCTACTCCATAGAGGGTCAACAACAAAGACCTAAAATGGTAAAGACTAGACAAAATGCATTCTGAGCAAATGGTTTATGGCTATAATACCTTGAATAACAGCTCATGACAGAGGCATGTTAATATAAAAAAACACAATTTTAGGAAAAAATGACAAATAAAAGTTTATATAATCCAAAATATTGGTTTCAAAATTCTATTCCATATACCTTCCCAACTATTTGGATACTGCCTTAGCGGTTTAAGTTGCTTAACATTGGTAACTATGTTGTTACGACAACAGGGGTATTTTTCACAGGGTTGCCATATTTTACTATGTCTTGTCCTATCTTTATACTTCTATGTCTTTGTCAACAATTTGAATAGTCATAACAGAAGTCAAAATATATTTAAATAATCGAAAATTTGCTGAGGGTGTACCGACTGATACTTTTTAAGTTGTTTTATATTTTTATTTATTTATTTTGTAACAGAAATTCACCACTCTTATTCCAAGCAGTTCGAATATGGCTCAATGACATAGACACATAGCTGATTTCCTCGTTGCTCAATAAAATACTGATTTTTATCCTCCTCAAATTTTAATGATATGATAAGATTTTGAAAACAATAAATTGCATTATTATTTATGTCCGAAGAATACAACTTCAATTGGTTTCTATAAAACACCATAAAATAATATGTTTTATAAATAGCTTGTCAAACCACGTGTAGTCCATTGTGTATAACTCAACGCTAATGGAATGTTCTTGGTTCGTTTGCTCATTTGAACAACAATTAATCTTGAAGGATTGTATCAGCATTTATTTAAAACATTTAAAATAAATACCTTCTTTTCCTTCGTAAACTAAACACGTACATAATTTCAATAATCAATTGTAAAACCATGTGTATTCCCACATGAAATACTCTACACCATGGGAATAATGGAATGGTCATGGTTAATAAAAAATTAATCTTGAAGGATTGCATCAGCATTTATTCAGAATGGAAACAAATAAACGCTTTCTTTTTCCTTCGTTGAAGAAGTTTTCAAAAAAATGGGAACTTACTTAAACAATGGACATGAGGGTTCAATCTCAATTGTCTGTTGGCCATCTTCGCGTACATTCTTCTTGAGAACTGTACCACCGAATTCTTTGTTAATCAACTGCATGCCATAACAAATACCCAAGATGGGTATTTTTAATTTGAAAATATCGGGATCATAACTGGGCGCATCATCGGCATAAACTGAATTGGGTCCACCCGATATTATAATACCCCGATAACCACCGGAACGTAATGCGTCCGCTGTTGTTTCCAAAGGTAAAATATCAGATTCTACCAACAATTCGCGAACTTTACGATCAATAACCTATGGGAAAATGAAAATAAAAATGAAACAAAAAAGAATAAATTTAAAAATTATGGCTGGCTGAGATTCTGATCATTTACAACATAAAAGCTTGGTAATACAAAATTTGGAATATTTATTTTTTGTTAGAAGAACTACTAATTATACTATTGTTCCGATTGCGTTACCCTGAAATCCAAATTTTTATATTACTTCACTTGATTATTGATAAATGAATAAAATTTCAATTCTTAATACAATACCTTTCCATATTGAGCACCTGCATCTAAAATGGCAACTTTGTCATGACCCAAACTATTTTCAGAAGATAAAAATTTATTTGTTGTACTCATGTCTTTCTTTTTGCAGCACTGAAATGAATAGAGAATGGGAGAAATGTTGCAATGAATCTGCGTGCTACATGATGGCAGCTAGAAGGGAGTTTTGAAACTTCTATAAAATCTAAGAGAATTTCTGAATACGCGAAACTAGAAACATAATGTTGCAGGATATTTAAAGCTCTCTGAACCTACTTCTAAAAATTTAAAAGAATTCAATACCAACAAAGTAATTAATTACTAAAAAAATTGAGGATTGGGACCGTAACGGTGGGAAGAGATCTGTCCACATGTTCGTGATTTCAGAATAATTCATTGCTTGAACTGTAACAGAACTTCTACCGATAAGAGACAAACTGTCGAAAGATCACAAATAGGAATGTTTTATATCTAAAAAAAACACAATAAAGAAGCTCTTATAGCAATCTCTAAAACACCTGTAAATATACTTTAAAAGGATGATCTATTTGTTTAAGGAAGATCTTCGAAGGGTGGAAGCTTTCTATATAAGTAATATATTTCGACAATTTTAATTACAAATAAATATCTGTCACATTAATTCTATTCATACAAGGATTTCTTGACCTAGAGTTGTGTAAATATAAAATGGCATTAAAGTAAGTTTAATCCATATGAGCTCGTGATCGTGAGTTTTTCCACGATATGATGTTATGTGTTTTATGACTTCACACCCAAATAAGACTGCAAACAATGCTTGTGACGTATGTGTGGAAACTTCGCATCCTCGTATGGATGGCACACTGGTGTCATGAAGAATACGCACAGACCACACTGGAGATGCATAACTAAAAACTGACCGATCTATAGGGTTATAAAAAGTCAACAACTTCCTTTGAATCGATTTCTACTAAATTTGTCGAGGCATTTGCGCCTTTCAGGTCGGGCTTTTATTAACGATTTAACAATTAGCTCGAAATCGTATAAAGATATACAGGCCAACCGAAGGTGCACATTTTCAGCTGACCTCTTTGGCAAGTAAACACGACCATTTTGTTTGTTTGCAAACTGCTGGACAACGGATGTTTTCTCATCGGAGAAAACAAAAATTCGGCAGTTCACCACTTTCACCCAAGCGAAGCAACTCTATAGCTCTTTTGAGTCTATTTTCTTTCTGTTGCGGTGTAAGTTCTTGCACTTTCTGAGATTTCAATGGCTTTACCCCAAACTCATTTTTTAATGTTTGACGAATGGAATATTGCGATATGTTCAGCTCACGAGCCATTTTTCGGCCACTGCGACGCGGTTTCGATCAAGTCGCTTCTTTACTTTTCGAGCCATTTCTTCCGTCCATTTCCTTGACGACGGGCTACGCTACCAGTATCACGGTAACGAGCGATGTCACAAGGCACAAAAGATTTATTCACATTCAAATGCCGGAGTGCTCTAACAATAGCCACTTGTGGTTTTTTGGCCAAATTTAAAGAAATCACACCATCACGCTTGAATTTCATCACGAATAACTTTTTTTCTGGAAAATTCTCACCGAAATGCTTCTGTACGCTTATAAACAATATAATCAGCTGTCACTGGAATAATTTTAACAGCTGTCGGACGAGTGGCTTAGAAATGACAGCAGTCTGAAGTTGGTTGCAGTTTTTTTTATCTCATCCTGTATACGAATGGTAAGCACAGAACATCAGGCTATTTACCATTTGGTATAACACCGTTGATATTTCCCATCGATTTACAGTGATTTTATAACACCAACGGTGAATGAAAAAATCAAGGTAAGGATACAATTCAGTCATTCTCGGGTTTATATGAGATGAGTCTCCTGAGGAACGTAGTCATAAGAACTAAGGAATATCGTCGTGGAAAGAGTTAAGTCCAGGACTTTTTCATATCCTAGAAGATCTGTATTTATTCCATAGAAGATAGCTTCTACAGGATCAAACTGGAAAGGTTGACTAGAGTACAAAAACCATTGACATGTGACAATGGTGTCAATCGAGGAGTAGTCTACTCTTTCCTAATTTACAAAATTTTGTCAGCACCCTCAAAATACTCTAAATGACATTCGACGATATATGGGCATTATGTTGAAAAGCGAATCAATATTTAATTTTTTTCGTTTGAGAACCTAAACCTGCAGTTGATTTGGTGCGGAGACGTTTCGTAGACATATCTCTTTAAAACGGTAGATAGGTATGCCATGAGAATATCTTCTACCCATTCTATTAGTTGTGTCTGGTTACTTTTCCAGCAAGAATTGTCTTGCAACTTCTTTCTGAGAGAAAAGGTAGTTTTATTCTCTTTTGCAAGGAAAATGCGAAAAGTAAACAGACGGTATTCCTGCAGAAGCTTGCAACTAATCAGCTGATTTGTTAAAACAAAACAATTTGTCCCCCATAAGGAGAATTAAAACAAAGGAAGCAATACTAATTTTACAAGTTTTTTAAATAAAAATGTTGGAAATAGTCTTTTATTTTCTTTTTACATATTAATATTTAAGTTTTTCACATTTTGTAAAGTTGTTCTCCAAAAACTATTAGTCTTGCTAATTCCAAAAAAATATTTTCAAATTGAAAGCACAAAAAGAAATAAACAAACAATAGAAAACATCTGATTGAATGTCGATGAATTAGAAGAAGAAGAGTTGCAAGTGATTGCAAGAAGAAATTTGTCTAGCAAGAATTTGCAAACTCTCACTGAAAGAACTGTCAAAATGTCTCTCTCCAACCGCTCACTTTTGCAAAACTTTCGGGATAACAGACGACTTCCAGTAACCTATTATTTCTTATATCTCTTTACATCTCCCACTGTTTGAAGGATTAATTATAATTTTTATTATTATATTTTATTAATTAGGTAGGGAATCTTGAGACAATAATGTTCTTGTTTTATCAAGACAAAAACGTTTAAAAATAATACATGGAATCTTGGTTAAAAATTCGTTTAATACGTTGTTGTCTATACTGATGCATGGTGACACATTTTGAATATTGTTGGCATATGTTACTATATTTCCTTTAATAAATAGGTAAGGCCTTTTTTAGTGGGTAAAAATAAGCTTTGAGTAACCAAAACACAAATGATTGAAGTTATTCTTCTTAAAGCCTTTAGATGGAGAAAATATATATTACCTGAAATATGACCACATTTCTGTAGGAATTAATTTATATTTTAATTTATATCCTTGATTCACAACTGTTCGAAAAAACCCCTTTAGTTCTAAAAACATATATTTGAAAAACATAAATGCATAAAACAACCACTTATTCTTAATGGCAAATACAAACCGGCAATACTTTGAAGATTACTCTAAGGAACATTCAATGCACAAACCAGCAACAAAACGAAAATAATTCGAAAAAGAAGAAATGAAAAGAAATGGGGTCACCGCACACAGCACAGGTCGTCCGTCGCCAAAATACTATAATAGCACCACATACACTTTTAATATTCAATAATATTTTTTTACAATTCTACAAGAGAACTCAACATTTTCTTAAATTTTTACAATTTTACTACAGCAATTTTCTGTTTTGGTTGCACTACTAGGAATGGATTAAATTTGGCCACTTTATAATAGCAGTTAAAATTGAAACTATTTTTGGGTGATTTCATGAATTTTTGACTATTCTTCACTACTGGAGCTTCTACGATGGCACCAACACTTTGAGAAACCACGGAGGAATTGGGAATTAACAAAAATACAAATTTTGCACAATATCACAATAACTATGAATGAAAAATGAATTGATAGGTGGTCAGAAAATCAAAATGACATCAATTGATGGCAGCGGCCACAATAACATTGCAACAATGTTTTGTTGTTCGATGTATTCTTGGTTTTTTTTTTATTTTTGGAAACAATTTATAATTCTTTTTTAAATATTCAACATTTATAGATATTTTGAGTATTCGTTTGATCTTTGGTGCTCTGGTATTGCAGAAGAAAGTGAAAATATGTTACTAAACACAAAATCAAAATATCATAGAAGGGGAACAAATCATATGATTGGGTCATCATCATCAGCACCACCACCACCACTACTAATACTGCACCTATCGTAGAATATCCAAATGACAGATGCCGACCGAGAACATTGTTTGGAGCCAAAGACCAATAAACGCAGCGAAAAAAAAAATAAATAAAGCACACAAGAAGAACGAACGGCAAACAACAAAACAGATGATGATGACACAACGGGGCATATAATATTGCCATCAACAAAACAATATGCATTGAAGGAAATCAGTGCAACACACAACGAACGAAAGTGGTCTCGCCAAGCGCCAGGGAGGGAGAAAACAAAGAAAATGTGTAAAATTGGCAAACTCATCATTGATGACCGAGAAATTTGCTTAAGAATGTCAAAGTACAATTCTGAACGAGAAGAAGAGTAATAATGGCACCAAAAAAAAAAAAAAAACGAAAGAATAACACAAATGACAATCAAGTGAAATGTTGGGCGGCAAAATTTAAATAGAGTCGTTTATAACCCCTTCACCGTGTGGGGAAAGTAATCAAATCAAACGCTGAGTCAATATTGGTGTTTTTTGCAAAGCCCAATTCAAGCGCCTTAAGAAACCATAAATAAACAGTAACAAGATAAAGTTTTAAGATGAGGATGATTATAATAATTTCCAGCAGCTTCTCTCGGAAACCGGCAGCCAATTGGGCTGATCCTGTTATTAGAATAAGTAAAAAAGCTGTATGTTCGGCCGGACCGAAATTTGAACACCCTCCACCATTTGGAACGAATTTGGCAATTTTCAAAAAAATAAAATAAAATCCGTTAAAAATTCTTTTAAAATCTTAAAAATAACTATTATAGCCGTTATATTAGGGCCTATACGACAATGTGAACCTGCATAAGCAACTTTTGTCATAAGCCATTACAATATTCAAATGGGAAACTTGAAAAAATCGGTGAAAAATGTAGCTAAAATCCTCAAAATACCAAATATAGGGAGGTACCATATTATGGGGGCTATAGCAAAACGGTGACCCGCACAGACAACTTTCTGTCATAGGCTGTAGTATCCATTACGAACTTCAAATGCCAAACTTGAAACAATTCCCTTGAATAACGTCGCTAAAATCATCAAAATACCGAATATCGGGAGGTGGCGTTATATGGGGACTATACGAAGACGTGGACATACACAGACAATTTTCCGTCATAGTGTGTTATATCAATTACGGACTGCAAATACCAACTTTGAAACATTTCCGGTGAATAATGTCGCTTAAATCACACAAATACCTAAAATAGGGAGATTATATGGGGGCTATACGAAGAGGTGGACCTGCACAGACAATTTTCTGTCATAGACTGTAGTATCAATTCAAATACCAAATTTGAAATATTTTCGGTGAATAATGTTGCTTAAATCACAAAAATACCGAAAATAGGGAGGTACCATTATATGGGGGCTATACCAAAACGTGGACCAGCATGGCTCATTTTCAATACCAAAAGTCCTGCAGACATAAAATACATTTGTGTAAAATTTTTTCAGCAAATTTATGTATTATAATGGAATCTAGCTACTAACCATATCATATTTGCGAAGTAGATAGAGTAGGGAATTTTTAGATAATTAGGAAAAGTATGGATTTTTTTTATAATACGAGAAATTTTCGGCCAGGTTGACTTCGATATTTGACATGTAAATTGCATTTGTTAGCCATGCTCCATTGTCTCTAAATAATGAGAGAGAGAGAGAGAGAGAGAGAGAGAGAGCTTTGGAACATTGTGTTTTCCCTAGGAAGAATAAGAAGTGGCGATGGTATAAAAAATATTTATATATAAGTGGAAAAATGAAGTGGGAGTTGTAGAGATGTACTAAAAGTTGGGTAGATAACCTAGCCAGAAGATTTCTACCAAACTTATAGATGATGATAGAAATTATGGCTAAGAAAAACGTTAGAGCTCCTATCTTCCACCTACTAAATAATCTTCTATTTAATCGATGCTAGCTTTTTTTCCTCACAAGATCTACAGTAGTAAGGACCACAGCTTTTCCGTTTTAAGATCGGGTATCTCATACTGTAGTGGTCAGCCAGAGATCCTTAAATCTGACCTATTCATTGATAGAAGGAAACAGGTTCTTATTTTTAAGCAAAGCTAGAGTTAAGCCATTAAAACCCCACAACATCCCAAAACCTGGACCCAAACAGAAGATTTTTACGATGATGTACTTACGTATTCAAAACAAAGTAAATTGCAGTCACTCCGTCAAACAAATTTGGTCAAGATCTTCAAGGTAATCTAAACATTTTTCCTTATCAAATTGAACCCCGAATCATAAATTAGAGAAACTCGTTAAAAATAAAAAAAAAAAAATTTTGCAGGTAGGACTCTCCGTCATATATTGGCAATGTCAAATAGTGGACATACCCTTGAGAGATTTTTCGAGTGGAATTTTTTCTATCCATTCTATTTTCTTCTTTTTATAAATTTAATATATATAAGATTTGAATAATGAGAATGTGTATCTCTATATGGTTTTTAAATGAGTTAATAATTCATATAAAATTCTACCTAGGTATTGTCTGAATTATATAGCTATTATAAATGAATAAAAATATATAAACATTGTAAATTACTGAAACCCCAAACGGTTAAAATCAATAACAATCCAAGTCGTAAAAATAAAGTGTCTCGAAGATTTGGTAGCATTACATGGAAATTTATGTAAAACCAATACCCAAACTCTATTATTACAAATACTTCTTTCATCTCGTTTTCCCTTGGCCCATAAATCATCACATCAAGAACCTATATATAGATAAGCATATTTTAAAGACCAACATTATAATTTCGAGAGCTTAGAAACTAGTCCGATCCAAATGGCGAAATTCATCGGTTCAGTTGTCTAGATTGTCTCAATTTTTAGATTATTTTGTTGCTATTAATAAACACATTTGTTAGAAAAGTGTATTCAATCAATATTTCCAAATACAGGGCTCTCTTATCAATTTAACTGCAGAAGATAACCCTTTAGCTTACAACATACCTAGACTTTGTAAATAAAAGCAAATAATTTTTGCAATGCTGTCCATATTACAATCGTGATTAGATCCTTACTGAATTCCACATATTCAGCACTTCTCAAAAAATATGATTCGCATTACAAAAAAAATTGTCGCCAACTCAAACATTTCTTGAGGTGTGCAAAACACGTGTTTGTCCCCACAGACATCAATATCGTGCCCTGTTACATGTGAACACTATAAACGTGTGTATATTTCATTTATGCTGAATAATATTCTCCACACTCGATGGAAAACTAAACTGAAGGCCAATGCACAACATTTAGCCGGTTCCACAGATAAATATGTGTGTTGTATGTTTGATTGTTTGTACCTAACAATTGATATCAATTACATTTAGAAGTTAAGTCTTTTTGTTTCATAGTTATTTCAGCAAAAGTAGCTCTACTTACCTTTTTTTACGTAGAACTGCTTTTCAATTTGCTTATCCCCTTATTTGTTATATTCAACTTCTTGTTTTGTTTAAATGCAATTTTTTATGTCAGTTTATCTTGCATCGGCGAAAAATTCACAATTCTTTATCTCCCTGCAAAAAAAATATGATTACTTCTGTCGCCGATTAATAATCTGCATGTGTATGTTTGCTGTGGGGGAGTTTATTTTTTTATTCTTTATCCAATCTAATATCTCCAGCTGTTGTTAAGCACTTACAAAACTTATTTCACCAAATAATAGTTATTATTTTCTAAAGAATTTATTCTTCACATTGAATTTATTTAGTGTTTTCCTTTAGAGAATATGTCTATGACCATTTATTCGCTGCTTTTTTCAACAATGCAAAATAGGGTTCTATAAATCGATTATGAAATACTGCGATTAGCTGACTTATCGTAAGATTCCAATTTATCGATAAAAGTGGCCTGACGACAGCACACATTGCACTGTGAGAAAAATTGCCCTTTTTGCAATGGGCCGAGAATATAGGCTGAACGATTTTTAAAATCTACACCATATATAGCATGGAGTGTATATTAAGTTCGTCATTCCGTTTGTAACTCATTGAGATGATAATTTTAGACATAACAAAGTTTATATATTCTTGATCAGCGTAATCACAATAGAGTCAAAAGGAATAAAAATACGAAACTACATTTTCAGATCAGTCTCTTATTTACAGGCAGATCAAGTTCGAAGATGGGCTATATCGGATATCGTATATCCCCCATATAACGGTACCTCTATATTCGGTATTTTTATGATATTAGGTGTATTTTAAAATTGAATCGCCTTAAAATCCACGCTAACAGTACGTTTACATATAAATGGGTTAACCCACTGGATTGGGATTAAAATTGTCATATCCATTACTTAAACTTCAAATAAATCCTCTTAAAGTAGGTTAACCCCACAAAAAGTTCTAACGTAAAAATGGCATAAAAGTTATTTTTAAGCACTTTACGCCGTGGAAGAGAAATGTCTACATAGGTCCACGATATTCAGGTCCATATTTTCGTATAGGCCCGATATAACAGTACCTCCCTAATTTCGGTGTTTTGATGATTTTTCACCTGATTTTTTCCAAGTTTCGTATTTGAATATTGTAATGGCTTATGACAAAAGTTGTCTATGCAGGTCCAGGCCTTAGTATAGACCCTAATATAATGGCTACATTCGGTATTTTTAGATTTTAACAGACTTTTTAACGGATTTTATTTTCTAGAAAATTGCCAAATTCGTTTCAAATTGTGGATGTTATTCACGGTCAAACATATTGTTTTTTTCTTGTTAAACATGTAATGGTAGATTTGAAAGATTTTTTGAATGATTATCAGTTACATAATCACATTTGTTCAGTTCCATCTAATTGTTCCTTAAAAAATAATCCCATCTTCTACAGTTTTGCAATGCTTTTACAAATACCTTCAAAATATTATGATAACTGTCAAGCAGTTTTTAAAGACATCAAGGCTAACAATTTTCAACATTGCATACAATTCTGAAGAAAAGCAGTAGAATTTTTACAGAGCAAAACAAATCATTGAAGATAGGCTACAAGAATTATTAAATTCTATTCATAATTTTGTGATAGTTTTCAACTGCGTGGACCGCGGCGTACCAAAATCCCATTTATTGTAAAAGATATTCTTGAAAACATTCAAAAATTGTATAAAATCAAATTTTATATACATTTTTTCAATGTGTGGCCAAGTCACATAGATTGTTCAGTGTGATGTATGACCATGCCATTTCATCTCAATAGACAGTTGCACCCATATCAACTCTGAGAAAAAAAGGCGCAATTTTCATAAAAAAAGAAATTTTATTTCACAACAGATCCGACCCACACCATTAGTTTTCCAAGCATTTCCGTCAATGAAGACGTGAGATTGTCCATTAAATAAAAAAATAACGTAAATTAAAGCCTTCTAATGAGTCCGCAAGAGAGAACAAATGATGAATCCATTGACGATGATGCCGAACTGTTAGCCCTGGAAAAGATACTTTGCGAGGCAGAGGAGCAAGAGAAAACAAAAACACCCGCATGCAAAGATAATGCCAAGACAAAGCCGAAAGAAAATATTGATGATGATGCAGAGCTGTTGGCCCTGGATAAAATTCTCGCCGAAGCTGAGGAAGAGGCGGACAATTCTGCCGTAAAAGAAAAGTCCAAAACAGCGGCGGTACCACGTTTGAAGGAAGATAGTACTTTTGCAGATGCATTTAGCTATGAAGTCGATACAAAATTGGCCAAGAAGGCAGCAAAGGAGGCTGAGAGCCGCATGGAAGAGGTAGACTCATCCGATGACGAAGAGGTTCGTAACTTCTTGGAGAGGAAATACAATGAGTATGGTTCCGATGTTAATAAAAAGTTGAAACAACAAAATGATGCCAGAAAAGAGGCTAGAGTTGAGAAAGAGGTCGATGCCATGATCAAAGAGAAGGAGTCTGGTATACCCAAATCGTCGCTGAATATACATATCAAAAATCAACATAATCCCGTCAAGAGACAATCTCTTATAACGAATTCTTTCAAGGCTAAAGTTTCAAACGAAGAAACTACTGCAGCCGGAAAAGGAAAATCTCTTAATGAACAGGCCTTCTTGTCCAGCGGCAGTTCACAGTGTTCAGTGTATATGGATCCTGTCTTTGGGTTACGTATTATCAACCCGCTGATTTCGAGTTCGTTGCTTAAGGAAAGAATGGCCGGACGACAACCGGTAGCTTTTGCCACCATTGCCCGTCACATACAGACGGGAGATTTAACAAAAGATTGGGTAATTGGAGGTGTGCTGACCCACAAGGGGCCAACGCAGAAGACTAAAAAAGATAAACCCTTTTGTATATGGCGTTTGTCTGATTTGAGAGGCGAAATTAAAACCGTGTCATTGTTCTTATTTGGCAGTGCCTACAAAGATTTGTGGAAGACCGCACAGGGTACTTGCCTGGCAGTATTGAATCCGACTGTCTTTGAAAAACGTAGCGAGAATACCGATGTGGCTTGCCTTTCCATTGATACTGCAGCTAAGGTCATGATTTTGGGACAATCCAAAGATTTGGGTGCATGTAAGGCGGTGAAACGAAATGGGGAAATTTGTAATGCCCTGGTCAATTTGAGTGAATGTGACACATGCGTGTTCCATGTAAAACAAGAATTCTCCAAAATGTCGAAACGTTCTGAGTTACAGTCCGCCAATGCTGGTCGTGGTCTACAGGATTTGCGAAACAAGGTTTTGGGAAAATCGGAAGTATTCTATGGAGGGCAATCTTATACAGCAGTTCCGGCAAAGAAAAGTGCCAAGTTGTCGTCGAAAGATAACCAAAGGTTGAGTAATTTATCAGAATATGCCATATCACCGTTTGCGGGCAGTGTGAATCACGAATCAAAACCGAAGACGGGTGTAACCACCATACCCTATGCAGCCCGAGAAGGTCCGGTGTCAAAAATAGCATGTAATGTTGAGGCAGGTCGTAAGCAGCGTCTTAAAGATTTGGAGCGATTACAGATTCTGCAGGCAGAATCGGCCAAAACCGGGGCATCATCACCATCCAGCCCAGCAGCGCCTAGTACCCCACAATCGGTGAAAAGTAGAGATTCAATTTTCAGCAAACAACAAACCTCCACACCCGCAGCCGGAAAGCAAACATCACCCACAACCTCGTCGTCATCGCTATCATCATCCTTTTCAAGTGCGTCAGATAAATTTAAAAATCGTGAATTTTCCTTTACCACCAAATCTCCCACCTTATCGAAGGATAATTTTTCGTTGGAGGTAAACATTGGCGAAAGACGTGCCTCACTGGCTAAACAAAAAGCTTTAGAGATTCTCAAAAAGAAACCCATTCAAAAAATTGATCCCAATTCCACGCGTGGCACCAGGGAGGGCAAACGTCGGGCCATCGATGATCTCAATGAAAAGTTCATGAGCAATGATGCCAAGAAACAGAAGCTGGACGAGGAGGAGCGGGAAAAGGAACGTAAAAGTCGCATACAACGCATTATGGATGCCACATCGTCACACACCAATCTCATCGATATGCGTGAACGAGAGGAGCAGGAGAAGTATTTCAGTAAATTGGAGAAAAAGGAAGCTTTGGAGGAGAAAATGTTATCGACCTATAAAATGGCCTGCAAGGCCGTTATATGTAAAACATGCAAATACACGGCCTTCTCGGCAGCCGAACGCTGTAAACAGGAACGACATCCGCTGAAAGTTGTCGATGCGGAGAAACGTTTCTTCCAATGTAAAGATTGTGGTAATCGTACTGTGTCCGTCTTTAGACTGCCCAAGACCTGCTGTTCCAATTGCAACGGTTCACGTTGGGAACGTTGTGCAATGATACGCGAACGTAAAGTGGCCACTGGTGCTCAAGAGTTGTCGGTGCGCGGCGATGAGGAAATGTTTATTGGCAGTATTTCGGGCAAGGCAAATTTAAATCTTGCCGTTCCAGACGATTAGGTAATTTCAATGGTTTCATATTTTCTTTGTTTAGTTGATTATTTAGAAGTAAGAATGTATTAGTTAAATATTAAGCAGATATTTTAGACACTCGTTTATTATTGTTTTAAGATTTTGTATCGAATAAAGAAAAGAGAGAACAAAGATGACAATAAAATATTATGTGGACCAATTCAAATTGTACAAAAAAATAAATGATTCTAAAAACTATTTGAAAATGTTTAGTTTGCTGATATATGGTCTTCTACAGACTGAAATACTCAATAGGTTTTTATATGCCTCTATGAGGTCTTTAATAGATAGAAGGATTATATGAGGTGTCCTATACTGAAAATGTGCACCTTCGGTTGGCCACCAGAACTTAAGCGCCGGCCATGGTGATGGTGTGGGCCGCCATAACAGCCGATGATCGCTCTCCGCTCGTATTAATCGACCGTGGCATCAGAATTAATGCCGAATATTATCGCGAAAATATTCTGGGGGGGTGCATTAAAGCCTTGGCCACCCAAACATTTTGGCCGCAGACTTTGGACATTCCTACAGGACTCATCACGCGCCACCCACGAATGGTTACAAAATGAGGTTCCTCGCTTCATTTCCAGCGCACAATGGCCACCAAAATCTCCGGATACCAATCCGTTGGATTATTGTGTCTGGAGTATTTTGGAAAGCAAGGTTGGCACTAAAAATACCAAAGTGTCGATCACCTCAAACAAGTGCTTCGCCGGGAATGGGCCAAAATAATGCAGAGCAACATTCGGCCAGCATGTGGCGGTTTCATTGGCCGTTTGAAGGTCATAATTCGTGCTAAAGGTGACCAATTCGAACAAATCTAAACTTATTCTAACATTTGATGCTATTTCCGATTTAGCAATATCCGTCCGTCTATCCGTCTGTGGAAATCACTCTAGCTTCCGAACGAATTAAAGTAGATTGATAAAATTTTACTCAAATGTATATTATGTCTGCAGGACTTCTGGTATTGAAAATGGGCCATGTAGGTCCACGTCTTCGTATAGCCCCCATATAACGGTACCTTCCGATATTCGGTACTTTGTTGATGTTAGCGACATTATTCACCGGAATTGTTTCAAATTTGGTATTTGATGTTCGTAATGGATGCTACAGCCTAAGACAGAAAATTGTCTGTGCAGGTCCTCGTCTTCGTATAACGGTACCTCCCGATATTTGGTATTTTGATGATTTTATTCACCGGAATTGTTTGAAATTTGGTATTTGAAGTTCGTAATGGATACTACAGTCTATGACAGGAGATTGTCTGTGCAGGTCCACGTCTTCGTATAGCTCCCATATAACGGTACCTCCCGATATTCGGTATTTTGATGATTTTAGCTAAAATATTCACCGATTTTTTTAAGTTTCGCATTTAAATATTGTAATGGCTTATGACAACAGTTACCTATGCAGGTCCATGTCGTCGTATAGACCCTAATATAACAGCTACAATCGGTATTTTTAGGATTTTAACAGAATTTTTAAAGGATTTTATTGTTTTTGAGAATTGCCCAATTCGTTCCAAATGGTGGAGGGTACTCAAAGTTAGGCCCGGCCTTACAGCTTTTTTACTTGTTTTTATATCACCCTGTACTAGATAGAAGGCCACCATTAGGTCTTCTATAAATAGAAACCATTCGTATGGATTTCTATAGTTAGAAGATCTTCTTGAGGCCTTCTATCTATGGATAGAAGCCTATACGAAGTCTTCTTTGGATAGAATGTCTCCATGAAGTCTTCTATGGATAGAAGGTCTCCCTGAGGTCTTCCATGGATAGAGGGTCTCCTTGAGGTCTTCCATGGATAGAGGGCCTGCATAGAGTCTTCTGTGGATAAAATGCCTTCATGAGACCTGTAAATATTATGGCGAGTTCTATGCCTTAAATTCTGTCTCAAAACAAGAATGTGAAGGCAGTTATTTTATTTTTTCTAAACGATTATATATTTATTTTGGTATGTACATATATTTGGATTTTGTATTAGACTAGAAATGAGATATTTTAGATAATTTATTTCAATTGCATTATTGCAGATAAAAAGATGATCTTAAACTTTTTTCCGAATAAAAAATTGGCTACAAATTATGGGTATTTCATATAAAAATTCTTACAAATAAAACAGAAAAAAACGTAAAATTTTACGTCTATGTCTAGAGTATAGCCATAGCAAGTGACCTCACTAATCTAGAGAGTCCTTATATTCAGTGCACTTTGATAGCATGAAAGAAAATGAAAAACAACTTCTAAAATCAGTCTATAAAATTGGAGTAGCCTCCGCTAGTCCTCTAGGCCGAACTCTCATTTTGCTCATTCACATTGAGTATACTGGAAAATTTAAATGAAATCGTTTTCGATAGCTCCATCTTTTCACAATTTTCCGCCATATTAGCTCGAGCGGTTACATCCATATATGAACGTCCTCGTTTCACTGGCAGTGTATACATTTCCCTCGATGGTGTACCGAGTGATGATTTCCTCAATGTAGCCATTGGATATCTTAAATCATTTTCATAACGTGAATCAAGTGTTCGCGATTCATGTAGTGGCCGGGGCATATCATAACCGGGTGGTGGTAGAAAACTACTGGAAAATGAAAATGTATCACGGCTGGAACAATCTTGTATATCGTAGAGGACTTTTGGTGGTTTCCATAAATCTTCCAATACATTTGATTCATCATCGTTGTGGGGTGTTTCCTTGAAGTCTGTGGCCGCGTGAGATGTTGTGGGACTGTGAATTTCTTCTTCTTCGCAATAGGTGGGATTCGAAAAGGATTTGGTGTTGTTACCCATCAGCTTTTCAAATTCTGATGCCAAAAATTTGAATGATGGCCGGGCATTGGGATCATCCATCCAGCAGGATTGTACCAATGAGTAGCTGAAATAAAAAAGGGGAAATAAAGTATTAGAAGCCATTAGTCGTATATTTAAAGGACTACTAGAATCACAAAACGGGGGTTTTGAAGTAATTTAAAATTTTTTTCTGAGAGTCTATCAAAGGTATGAAACGTAGCTTAAGAAAAATAGTACTTTCAGAGTCATAAAGTGTGGATTTTTTTTAGAAATATTTTTGATTTTTTTTAAATATTTTTGAAAAAATTCTTTGAAGGACGAAAACGTCGATTTTTTTAAATATTATTGAAAAATTCTTTAAAAGACGAAAATGTGAATTTTTTGAAATATTTTTGAAAAATTCTTTGAAGGACAAAAACGGGGATTTTTTTAAATATTTTTGAAAAATTCTTTGAAGGACGAAAAAGTGGATTTTTTAAAAATGTTTTTAAAAAATTCTTTGAAGGACAAAATGTGATTTTTTTTAAATATTTTGAAAAATTCTTTGAAGGACGAAAACGTGGATTTATTTTTTTAAATATTTCTAAAAATTCTTTGAAGGACAAAAACGTGGATTGCTTTAAAATAATTTCGAAGGACGAAAACGTGGATTTTTTTAAAATATTTTTGAAAATTTCTCTGAACAACGAAAAAGTGTTTTTTTTTTAATTATTTTGAAAAATTATTTAAAGGAGGAAACGTGGATTTTTTAAAATATTTATGAAAAATTATGTGAAGGAAGAAAACGTGGATTTCTTTAAATATTTATGAAAAATTATGTGAAGGAAAAAAACGTGGATTTCTTTAAATATTTAAAAAAAAAAAAATTAAAGGACGATAGCTTTTTATAACATTTTCTTTGGTTCTCTTCTATAGATAGTCCATGAGGTCTTCTATAGATAGAAATGCTTCATGAGGTCTTCTATAGATAGAAATGCTTCATGAGGTCTTCTATAGATAGAAATGCTTCATGAGGTCTTCTATAGATAGAAGTATTCAATGAGGTCTTCTATAGATAGAAGTGCTCCATGAGGTCTTCTATACATATAAGTCCTCCATGAGGTCTTCTATAGATAGAAGTATGCTACATGAGGTCTCCTATAAAAAGAAGTCCTCCATAAGGTCTCCTATAGATCTTCTATACATAGAAGTCCCCATGAGGTCTTATATACATAGAAGTCCCCATGAGGTCTTCCATACATAGAAGTCCTCCATGAGGTCTTATATACATAAAGTCCTCTTTTTAGGGGACCGTTAAATTTACAAAAGTTAGATTTTTTAAAGATATTTTTTTTAATGTTGACTTGTTTGCGAATGTTTTTAAGCGAGAATTTTCTAAAATTTGTACTTACATTTCATCCGAACAATTTTCAGGTTTTTCCATGCGATAACCGCTCTTTAGTAAATGATATAAATTCTGTACTGGTATGCCGGGATATGGAGATGCACCCAGGGTTATTAACTCCCAACACAGCACACCAAATGCCCAGACATCAGATTTGGAAGTGTAAACATTGTCGGCCAGCGATTCCGGAGCCATCCACTAAAAAGGTAAAATATGAGAATTTTAGAGAGACTAATTTTTTTCCAAAAACAAAAAAATTTCCAAAATTTCCAAGAACACTTCTAAAAGTGTTTTTTAAAACCCCGCGGATTTCCAATGATTTTTGGATGCCCACCCAATTTCATACCTTAACCGGGACACGTTCCCGTGAACGTTTCAAATAGGCATCATCTTCATAGACATCTCGAGTCAAACCAAAATCAGATATCTTACAAATATGGCCCTCGGCCAAAAGGACATTGCGGGCGGCCAGATCTCGATGGACCAACTGAAAATGAAAAACAACAATTAAAAATAATCTCTGGCAAATATTTTCCTACCCACCTTAATATCCGTCAAATAGGCCATTCCCTTGCATATTTGCCAGGCAAAAGAGAGAATGCTCCTCACAGTCATTGGTTCCATGCCATCGGTAAATTCTGCACCGCTATATTCCAGCTTACGACACAAACGTAAATAACTCCTAAGGGCTCCATATTTGGCGTACTCAATTATAATCAGCGGCGTATCACCTTTGGTACAGGCACCCAATAGCTTTATAACATTCGGATGGGATACTTCCTGCAGCAGCTGGAATTCGGAGAGTAGAGCCATGTATTCCACAGAATTGGCACCTTTTTTCAACATTTTCACCGCAACAGTTGTCACTCCTGGACTATTGGCAATATCTGTGGCATATGCCTTCATAACTTTACCAAACTCTCCCTCACCCAAAATGGAATCCAACTGCAAGTTTTCTCTGGGAAATTCCCATTTTGAATCGACCACAGAACTATGAAAAGTGTAGCTGTTTTCCAGCTGTACCAATGGCAAGCCACTGCCGGATGCACTACATTGTGATTCCCGGCAGCCATCCAGGGCAGCTTTTTGCCCACCATCTCTATTGCCAAGGGAGTTCATGTCGCGTGACTTTTTTCGTCTCCCCAAACGGGATACCAACAAACATGTGGTAAGTATCAGCAGAGTGCTGGGACATACTATGGCAATTATTATACAGGTTTGATTACACTCAAATCCCTTGACATTAATGAGACTTTCAGCCTCCACCCGGGCCGTGGGGGATTTATGTTCCTCTCTCAATGTGGCATTAGTTGGGGAAGGGTTTTCCGCTAATATTGTTGGTGCTTCAGATCTATAGGCATTATGTTCCGCTTTAGCTTCTCCCTTATTTTGTTTCCTCTTCTTCGGCTTGGGTTCATCCTCATCCAGCGGGGTGCAGGCACAATTACCATTATCATCACATGTACAGGTGCCAGAGGCCGATGAAATACCCTTACGTTTATCACTCACCGACAGGGGGCTAAGTATTTTATTACCACCCGTACAATCTTGCGGACAGACAAAGGTGTTGATCTCCTCCAACGGATCACAGACATTGTCAGGACAAAATGTGGCATTGGGAACACAGGAAGCATAATTTGAACTGAAGCGAGCACTGTTGGTGCCACGCCATACACAACTACCGCCATTGGTGGCTAGGCCACAAAACGATTGGCATTGGTTGCGATATTTGATTTGGGCACATGTTTGACTTTTCGATTTCACTTTATGTTCACAGGTTACATTACCCGGTCGGCCCTCCCGCAAATGGACATTGATTACAAAGGAACGCTGATAGATGTCGTGCCAGGTTACGTTGAGGCTGCAATGAGGAGAGAGATGGAAATGGAAAATTGAGTGAAGGTAATCAAGGATTAAAAAGAGAAATGTAAGTTAATGTTTGTAATTAAGGATCATGAGAATGGGCCGCCGTGCTTTAACAAATCTTCTCTTTATAGGACAGGCATAACCTGTAACAACTCCTAATATAGCCGATGCTTAAAACACCAAATCTTAAAATTCCTCGCTGATACCTTTCTGGACGAAGTATCCATCCGTTATTACTGGTAAATCAAACCTTCCCTGATTATTGCCAAACTTCTTACTACAGGGTGAGACAAAAAAAAACTGCAACAAAGTCAAACGCCATAATTTTTACATTTTTTGTTTTGTTTTATTTCCGGTGAACCGCTTGCTTGAGGTGATCGACACATTAATATTTTTTAGTACCAACCTTGCTTTCCAAAATACTCCAGACACAATAGTCCAGATTGTTATCCGGAGATTTTGGTGCATTGTGCATTGGAAATGAAGCGAGGAACCTCATTTTGTTACCATATTTAGGTGGCGCCTGCTGAGATGGTCCTCAGTCCTGTTGGAATGTCAAGGTCTGCGGACAAAACGTTTGCATGCCCAAGGCTTTAATACACCCTTTAGAATATTTTCGCGATAATATTTGGCATTTATTCTGATGCCACAGTCAATTAACACGAGCGGAGAGCGACCATCGGCTGTTATGGCGGCCCACACCATCAGCATGGACGGTGCTTCAGTTCTGGTGGCCAACCGAAGGTGCACATTTTCAGCTGACCTCTTTGGCAAACAAACACGATCATTTTGTTTGTTTACAAACTGCTGGACAACGAATGTTTTCTCATCCAAATTCGGAGAAAACCGAAAACCACTGCGACGCGGTCGCTTTTCTACTTTCCGTCACGTAATGAGCTGTCACTGGAATAATTTTAACAGCTGTCGGAGGAGTGACTTCGAAATGACAACAGTCTGAAGCTGGTTACAGTTTTTTTATCTCACCCTGTACATACTTACAAATATATAGTTTCCGGTGCATATTTCAGGGCGACAATATCCTTAACGTAAATTATCCCAGCCGCCGATGTTATACCAAATGCCTGGCTACGATCTTCAATCAAAGTGAATTTTAGCTGTGGCAAACGTATAAGATTACGAAAATCTGCTGGCTGTGTCACCCGATACATTGGCTGGGCCGTACGATACACATAGACATCTTTGGGATATGAGTTCGGTATGCTACGTGTCAGGGTGCGACTAAAACTATCCGAATTCAACAGATCATTGTCATCCGTATTGACAACATTCATTTTACGATTTTGCCTGGTACGCAGCGGCAAGGCCTGTGGATGATTGGCTTCCAAGATTAACTCGGGGTCCGTTTTAATGCAAATATTCGCTGTGGCCTAGATTGGAAAGAAAAAATTAATTAAATAATATATTTATTTAGGGAAATATTTGATTACCGTATTTCGGCTGGCACCCTCAATTGTTTCGTCACTGGCCTGCAGGGCAAAACAATAGGATGGCTGATTGGCCACACCATTGCGGGCAAAACGTACTTCTGTAAAAGAAAAAAATGGGATAAGAAGGATTCCAAAAAATCGTTAGCAACGCGTTGAACTTACGACAGCTTATCATGGTGTTCCTCCTTCTTGGGTATTCACCCTCATAAACATTACAAACTGGCCGCACTAAATCCAGTGTATCATTGATTATTTTATAGGTCTGATAAACATTCGTTGCCACCGAATCCTTGTCCATAAATAATATTTTCTCGCCAATATTTTCATTCTGAAAGTAAAGATATTATGAGTTCACTTATAAAATAAGTTTCGCCCGTTTGAATTAAATCTACAAATATTACGACTGTTCTGGAAACCCAAGGCCTATAAGTTCGTAAGAATTTTATGTACGACGGAAACGACATTCAAGACTTGGTTCCATTGGTCGCCAACCAAAAGTCAATGTGAAACTCTTGAATGCCAGAAGGAGTAAGCAAAGGATATGAATGGAAGAAAATCCAGCTATAGTCGAAAGTACAGGTCCGATTCAAAGTACACAATGGAAATTGGAAACTATATAATACTAGCTGAACCGGGTGCGCTTCACTACCTCCTTTTTTGTGTTGTAAAAAATTTAATACAAATTTAAGAATTTCAAAAACGTATTTATGTATTGTAATATTTTAATGCGTAAACAACCATATCGCTCGGTCTACCAACGTCTGAACATGCGAGGAACAGCTGGCCATGAGGAATATGCCAAATTTAGTCCTCATACACGAAGAGCTTGTCCTTCGGATTTATTAATTTCATAGCGAATGCCAATCGTGAGATGAAAAAACTGCAACCAACTTCCGACTGCTGCCATTTCTAAGCCACTCGTCCGACTGCTGTTAAAATTATTCCAGTGACATCTCATTATATTGTTTACAAGCGTACAAAAGCATTTTGGAAAGAATTTTCCAGAAAAAAAGTTATTCGTGATGGAATTCAAACGTGATATCTTTATATTTGGCTGGAAAACCACAAGTGGCTATCGTTAGTGCACTCCAGCATTTAAATGTGAATAAATCTTTTGTGTCTCGTACCATCGCTCGTTACCGTGATACTGGTAGCGTAGCCCGACATCCGTGGAAGTGGACAGAAGAAAACAGCAACATCAGCAGAAATGGTTCGAAAAGTATAAAAGCGACTTGATCGAAACCCGCTTCGCAGTGGCAGTGAACAATGGCTCGTGAGTTGAACATATCGCAAAATTCCATTCGGCAAATGTTGAAAAATGAGCTCGGGATAAAGCCATTGAAATCCGAAATCCAAAAAAGTGCATGAACTTACACCGCAACAGAAAGAAAATAGACTCAAAAGAGCTAAAGAGTTACTTCACTTGGTGAACTGCCGAAAGTGGTGAACTGCCGAATTTGGTTTTCTCCAATGAGAAAATATTCGTTGCCCAGCATTTTGTAAACAAACAAAATGATCGTGTTTATTCGCTAAAGAGGTCTGAAAAGGCTGAAAATGTGCACCTTCGGTTGGCCGAAAGTGTTGAGCTTTTCTCCGATCTCCGCTGAGAAAACATTCGTTGTCTAGCAATTTGTAAACAAACAAAATGATCGTGTTTACTTGCCAAAGAGGTCAGCTGAAAATGTGCACCTTCCGTTGGCCACCAGAACTCAAGCGCCGACCATGGTGACCATGGTGATGGTATGGCCCGCCATAACAGCCGATGGCTGCTCTCCGCTCGTATTAATCGACCGTGGCATCAGAATAAATGCCGAATATTATCGCGAATATACTCTGGAGGGTTTATAAAAGCCTTGGGCACGCAAACATTTTGGCCGCAGACCTTGGACATTCCAACAGGACTCAGCACCACAGCACTCAGCACGCGCCACCCAAGAATTGTTACACAATGAGGTACCTCGCTTCATTTCCAGCGCACAATGGTCACCAAAATCTCCGGATACCAATCGTTGGACTATTGTGTCTGGAGTATTTTTGAAAGCAAAGGTTGCCACTTAAAAATACCAAAGTGTCGACCGCCTCAAGCAAGCGCTTCGCCGGGAATGAGCCAAAATACCGCAGAGCAACATTCGGGCAGCGTGTGTTCGAATTGGTCACCTTTGTTACGAATTGTCCATGTATTTTTGTAAACAAAGTACAGTTCGCATTTATTGCCCTATCCAGATGAAATTTTGCACAAATCATTTGTTTGACCCAGGGACGAACCCTATTGAAATTTCAGATAATCGGTCAAAATTTAGATATAGCTCCCATATATATCTTCGTTCGATTTGCCTTTTTTTATTGTGCACCAAACGTGTAATATCAGTCCGAATAGTATGGAATTTTGCACGTACGATCAGATTGGACCTGAAAATAAGTACGCCAAATTTGATCGAAATCGGTTCAGATATAGCTATAGCTCTCATATATATTGTTCATCCGATTTGTTATTTTTGTCCTCCGCAGCCGTAATATGCGCTCTGTAACAACAATATTTGGGGAAATATATCAAATGCAGCTTAGAAATACCTTTGCTAAATTTTATCGAGATCGGTTCAGATTTGGATATGGCTCGCATATATAACTTCGTCCGACTTACCTTTTATTGTGCACCAAACGTCTAATATTTGCCCATATGGGATGAAATGTGGCACTTACGACCGAATTGAGTCCAGAAGCTAGTATGTCAAATTTAGTGAAGATCGGTTAAGATATAGCTACAGCTCCCATACATATTGTTCATCCGATTTGTTGTATTTGTTACCCACAGCCGTAATATGCACTCCGTAACAACGATATTCAGGGAAATATATCAAATACAGCTCAGAAATACCTTTGCTAAATTTTATCGAGATCGGTTCAGATTTGGATATAGCTCCCATATATATCTTTATCTGATTTAAAATTAATTTTGCACCAAATGGGCAATACAAGATCCAATTTAAAAGATACAAATGATTCGGCATATTTAGTTCTTTGAACTTTAAATTATAATTATAATCATAGCGTGTATGATTAAATTCTACCATAAAAACTTGTAATTGTTATGTGGAGCTCTACTAAATTAGTAAAGTGGTGTAGGGTATCATAAAGTCAGCCCCGTTCGACTTTAGGACTTTCTTTACTGGTTTCTTTCTGTTGCGGTGTAAGTTCTTGCACTTTTTGGAATTTCAATGGCTTAACTCCGAGCACCTTTTTCCATATTTGACCAATGCAATCTTGCGATATGTTCAGCTCACGTGCAATTTTTCGGCCACTGCGACGCGGGTTTCGATCAAATGGCTTCTTTAATTTTCGAACCATTTCTGTTGATGTTGTTACTTTCTTCCGTCCACATCCTTGACGTCGGGCTATGCTACCAGTATCACGGTAACGAGCAATGATACGAGACACCAAAGATTAATTCACATTTAAAAGCTGGAGTGCTCCGACGATAGCCACTTGTGGTTTTCCAGCCAAATATAAAGAAATCACACTATCGCGCTTGAATTCCATGACGAATAACTTTTTTTCTGGAAAATGATTTTGTACGCTTTTAAACAATAAATGAGCCGTCACTGGAATAATTTTATCCGCTGTCGGACGAGTGGCTTAGAAATGACAGCAGTCTGAATTTGGTTGCAGTTTTTTTCATCTCACCCTGTAAGAAATCCCATATCCTCCTTACATTACTGATTACTTACCGCATTAAAGTAGGCACTTTCCATGTTGAAATTAAACACCTTCGAGATATTCAGCAAAATCGGACCATTATCATTGCGATCGATAACCTGGACATTAATTAGCTTGCGAAATTGTTCCGTACGATTCGAGCTAATTTTAACCAAACAATTGATGTCCACGGAGAGATTTGTTTGCTGGGCCACATCGAGGGATTCAAAATCCAGTGGTTGACGGGTTATCAATAAATTATTACGCAATTGAAACAATTGCGAAGCATTCAAAAGCTGATATTTTAAATCCATGTAGGGACACAAATATTTGGCTCCCCTGGGATTTAGGGAACCGACCAAAATTGGTTTAAATTTTGAATTTCCATTGCCCGCTGGTGTGGCGAGATCTTCCATGATAATATAATTTGCCGATGACCAAAAGCAAATGTTTTCCAAATCTTCACAATATTCTTCCTCCGTTAGCGGATGTAATTCAATGGACATTTGCGATAGGGTATTGGTTGTGGGTTTGGAGAAATTATTGCTACGATTCTTGTTGGCTTTTATATTGAACTGCAATGAGCCTGTGGGTGCTTTGTAGTCATCTCTGAGAAAAACTTCACCACTTGTCTGATTGATGCGCAGCAAATCGTTGTCATCCATGCTATAGCTGTAGTCGAGGGCGGGAGTGTTTTCCGTCGTCGACAATACTTGAAATTGTCCAATTGGGATTTTCGAAAAAATACTCTGCGATTTCTCATTGAAGGGCATATTCAGCTCAATCGCTGTCATCGGGAAGTAGACATCGAAAGCTGAAAAGAGAAAGAGAGCGAGAGCGAGAGAGAGAGATAAAGAAATATGTAGATTAATCGAGAAGAATATTAGGATTTGCACAAGAAAATATAAACTTTTTCAAGGATTATCGGCAACGAGGAGTTCTAAAATATTTTTATACCCTCCACCATACATAGTTGGACAATTCTCAAATTTCATATTTAGAATTCGTAGTGGGTACTATAGCATATGACAAAAAATGATTTGATGATTTTAGCTACATTATTCCCCGGAGTGGTTTCAGATTTCGTATTTAGAGTTCGTAATGGAAACTACAGCCTATGACAGAAAATTGTGTACGAAGGTTCAGGTCTTCGTATGGCCCCGATATAACGACACCTCCTTATATTCGGTATGTGGACGATTTTAGGTACAATATTCACCGCAATTGTTTAAAATTTCGAATTTGAAGCTCCTAATAGGACTATAGCCTGTGACAGAAAATTTCCTATGCAGGTTTAGGTCTTCGTATGACCCCGATATAATAGTACCTCCCTATATTCGGTATTTTGATGATTTTAGCTACATTATTCACCGGATTTTTTCAAGTTTCGTATTTAAATATTGTAATGGCATGTTACAAAAGTTATCCATGCAGATCCACGTCTTCGTATAGATCCCAATATAACGGCTATATTCGGCATGTTTAGGTTTTGAATAGAATTTTTAACGAATTTTTTTTTTTTTTTTTGAAAATTTCCCCAATTCGTTTCAAATGGTGGAGGGTCTTTAAAATTCGGCCCGGCCGGACTAACTGATTTTTTACTTGTTATATGTAATATTGCCACACTATATACATAAAATCAACGGTTTCCGAGGAATCTCAACCGGAAAATTTCAAAAGATATGAGGTGAGGAAAGGTAGTGGGGCATGCCCCCTCTATTTACATTACTTTGCAATGTAAAACTTCAAAACTCCGATACACGCTTCTTCCATATTTAGCTTCACATTCATAATCTCCTGGATTTTCCTCAGTAATTATTTTCTGTGTTGCACATTGTTATTTGAATTTTTAAAAATATTTTGAAAATAGTTTTTCAAATATCCCATAATTCTTTACTATAAATTTCAAAATTGCATCCCATTCGAATGGGGATATTTATGATGCTCCATTTAATTGTGGTTACTTTGCTCCCCCGCCCCCTACAAAATATTCAATTATGAAATTCATGTCACTTCATTTTACACTGACATCCATTCCGTTTAACCGTCCACATCCACACAGGAGCTGCTACAGCATTTAGTTTAACTGACATTCCTACAACTCCTCTCGGTGTTACACATGGATCCATTAAAATATAATGACGGACCATTTATGGAGACGGAGGCGGTGGATGTGGGTGCTACATCTACAATGTCGTGATGTTATTTCCTGCTCCCCGTTCGAAGTTAAAGTGTTTGAATAAAAATTGGAACACAACGAAATGTAAAAAGGAAAAAAAAAGATGAATGAAAACCATGACATTCTTGCCGGGGCTGGGATACCCGTCAACTGGGCGCCAAACATATTGTTGGAGTTTTTATTTTCATCAATTCTCTTTTGTTCGAAGAGAAGTTAGTCTGAATTTCCTGAATGAATGACTCAGTTGAAGTTGTGGAGGGATTGTTTTTGGCGGAAAGTAAAGGGGAGGGGGTATTGAGATGCTTATTTTAGTGTTAATCTTTCATTTCATGCATTTCTTGATAGAAAAAAATAAACATATTTATAATAAGTAAAAAGCAGCTATGTTGGGACGGGCCGAACTTTTTATACCCTCCGCCATTTGGAAGAAACTTGAAAAATTTCAAAAAAATTAATCGAAAAATACCGTATTAACGTTTCCGAAATTTATATATGAAATTTGAAACAAATCCGGTGAATAATGTCGAAAAAATCATGAAAATACCGAATATCTGGGAGTACCGTTGTATGGGTGCTATACTAAAATGTGGAACTATTTAGACAATTCCCTTCTAGGGGTAAAGTACTCAGGAGGAACCCCTAGTGTGGATTTTAAGGCAATTCCATTAAAAAAAAATTGGCTGAAATTATCAAAAAACCGAATATCGGGGAGTACCTAATATGGGGGGTATACGATATCGTGAACCTATGTGGACTATTCTCTTCTAGGGAAGTAAGTACTCTCAAGGAATTCCTTGCGAGAATTTTAAGACAATTCAGTTGAAAAATGTGGCTAAATTCATCAAAATACCGAATATCGGGAGGAACCGTTATGTAAGGGATATATGATCAATATTGACAACGTACGTATTAACGTAAAGTACCCACGAGGAACACCTTTTGTGGATTTTAAAACAATTCCATTGAAAATTTTGGCTGAAATCTTAAAAATACCGAATATCGGGGGTACCGTTGTATTGGGGCTATACGATATCGTGGACAATATATAGACAATTCTCGTTAAAATCATGAATAAATTGAATACCGGGAGGTAATGTTACATGGGAACTATACGAAAACGTGGACCTGCATACGAAATTTTTGTCATAGATTGTAATACCCGTTACGGACTTCAAATACGAAATTTAAAACAGTTCCAGTGAATAAGGTGGAAATGAAAATATCGATTATCGGGAGGTACCATTATAAGGGCGTTATACGAAAACGTGGGCCGAAATGGCTCACCTGCCTACTGGGAAGATATGCATGTCTGCAAAATGTTAACCTTCTATCTCAATTGGTTCAAAAAATCGCTTGATTATAACATACATACAGACTAAACGAATCTAAAATTTAAAGGTGGACTATTTGCTGATGAAGTAGCTAAGTAGTTATTATATTAAATCTGCTAAATGTATAGAGAGATCTAGGGTATAATATGGTAGGGTATTATCTCAGATTCTTTCCCCTAAAATGTGAGCTATCTTTCCTTTAAATTTCGAAATAAAATTAAATTAAACTGTTATTTAGTCTTTCTACCGAAATTTTAATAGGAATAACAAAATCTGAGTCAGTAATTCTAAACAAGTTTATACAACATTGAAGTAGTCTGAAATATAAGCAAACATTAATTTCAATCTAACAGCCGCCTCTAACTTGTCTCCCCTTGTCCCTGTCCTAGAGACTACATGGAATGACAAGTAACTTCCAAGGGATGCTAAGACAATGGGCAAAGACATTCTTTCATATGCGAATATAACAATTATGCCCATTTTTATGTGCAACCCTCTCTCCCTCTATGTGCCCTGGCTGTCTTTGAACAATTCACATACACAGTTCATTCTCCATAATTTTATGACAAATGGGAGTTAACAATTTGTAATAATAACTGTAATTCCTTTCAAAGGACCGAAAAGGATTCAATTTCTATTTTTATGTTAATTGACATTTAATAAAAATTGGAAAAATGTGAATAGAAACTCATTTGCAATTAAATATGATTTCAATTAAATAGAGAACTTTGTTGTCACGCCTAATGTAATTTTTTAAAGGGGGGGGCAAAGTGGTAATTTGAAGAATATTGTAACATATGGCGTTTGTTTTCATATTTGTATCCGAAAATAAATCACAACTGAGGCCCGGCATAGAAATCTTACACCGTACAAGAAAATGAAGTTCAAATGTGTCAAAGAAATGAACTTACATTAAAATTTCAAGATAGTGAAGTAGTAGTTTCCTGTGACTTCTCTGACCAAAATGCTAAAACCGAAGAAGTATTAAAACATCTTAAAGTCAATTTTTAGTCCAATTTACAGAAGTTAAGTTTTCTGGAAAGAAACAGTTTTTGGAAGGAAGAATCGTAGAGAAGAGATAGTTACTTCATTGACTACCTCTTTTCTATTCTGTCAAAATCCGCCGTCTGATAATGGATTTAGGAAAAAATGCATTATTTTATACTCGAACACCTCAAACGAAAACCCAACAATTCTCCAATTAAATTGGGTTTCTGTAAAATATGTTACTCAAATTTAAATACCTATCCCAAAAATTAAAATCAATGTCTCACCTCCAAAATGGTAAATTGTTTATACTCTCCGCCATACATAGTATGGAGGGTATATTGAGTTTGTCGTTCCGTTTGCAACTCATCAAAATAATAATAATAATAATAATAATAATAATAATAATAATAATAATAATAATAATAATAATAATAATAATAATAATAATAATAATAATAATAATAATAATAATAATAATAATAATAATATAATAATAATAATAATAATAATAATAATAATAATAATAATAATAATAATAATAATAATAATAATAATAATAATAATAATAATAATAATAATAATAATAATAATAATAATAATAATAATAATAATAATAATAATAATAATAATAATAATAATAATAATAATAATAATAATAATAATAATAATAATAATAATCTATATATATAAATGTAAGTTGTGTTAGTTACTACGCTTATAACTTAAGAACCGCTGACTGATTTTAACAATTCACACAAATTAGGAGTTGTCTCCTCTCCGAAAAGGATAATATCCAAAAAAATCGCGTAAAAATGTGATATATTAACATTTTCATTTTGACTTTTCAAATGTACAATAGTAATGTTTTATTTTGCATGATTTTTTTCTATTTTGACTGGCTTTTTTCTAATGTACATTTGTAGTGTTTTTTATTTTTTATTTTTGAATTCGAATATTAAAACCAATTTATTTAATTGACTTGATTTCTTGAGAACTGAAATTGATGGCGGGTTACATGGAAGTGTAATAACGAATTATATGGTGGCGAAACGGAATAGATGATATCGAAATAATTTAACGCGGTCACACCAAAAGAAAGATAATTATTAATTAAAAGATAATTACTTTTTCAAATTCGCTAAAAAAATAACGAAAAAGAGATCTCATTGCAAAAATTCTCAAATCGGGAAAAAATCGAAAAGATTTTCAGTGGAATCGAATTTTAAAAAAATAGTGAGGGTCTTTAAACATTTGCTGTAATAAATCAGCGAACAAGTTGAAGATTTTTTCAATTTGCTATTCTTCTTTTGTCAT